TATTCTACATGTAATTACAATTTACTCTAGGAATTAAAGATTCCAAAAATTGACACTCGTAATAGTTGAAAGCTCTTGTGCGTTCTGGGTTAACTGACTGATCGTCAAAACAGTAAGTACTGTACGTGACAACGCAGGGAAGAATTACATCCTGGACAATTGTTCTTGAGCTCCAGAATTCTAGCCCTGACTTTATAGTAGGATGAGGAATAAAGGTTGCTGCAAAGTGTGTTTAGCAACGTTTGAAAACTAAGAATTTTCATTCTCGTGTAAGACGAAGCTTATTTACATCGGCAAACGAACTTCAAATTTGATTTCATTTTATAGCATAGAGAACCAAATAACAAATATTTAACAAGGGCCTTTTCGAATCACGGAGATTAGCTGTTATTAACGTTAAAGACGCCTTTTTAAATTGATAATTTTTATGACAGTTCGTTCACTGCACTAGTTTTTTTTTTGACTTTAGGATTGAGTATGGTAGATTGGTTCAAAATCTATGTGACTCAGTGAATAAACTTGTAAGTCAACATTTTTCTGAAATGAGATAAGAATATAACTGAATCCTTTCTAATAACTTTCTGCACCCGTATATAACCATATAAGTTAAACTCCGCATGATTTCTGAACAATGAACATTTTGTGGACATACGTAAATTTTAAAGCATCCTCGATCGTATCAAAAGAAGTGTTGTTGGATTATTATGGTCTGAATTAACTTATGAATGAATTGAAAGTAAACTGTATAACAAAGTGGGATTACTCACTCGCGAGAACCCTAAGATAGCACATTAGGATTATTTGAATGGGATGTGTGTCGTGGAATTCTTCGTACAATGTTAACTCACATAAATACAATTAGAAGAAGTAACATCTATTCACTTTAAGTACCTGTACCTGTGAAAGAGTGACACATACACTTTTACAATTAAACAAGCCATTAAGAACTGTCAAACTTTCATGAATACCAAGTTTCCCGGAAGGATGTATGCGAGGGCGAGGGTTCTAATAATTTCTGATGGAAAAAATGACATCTTGGAAGGGGATGTGGTCCACTTTCCAAGTCGAGAAGTTATCAATATATCATTGTCGTAATTGACTTTTTTCTAAAACCATGCAAGTACATCCACTTAATAAAACTAACGCATGGAACTGCCTCAGTTAAGTAGATGGATATTGTCGAATTGCAGGAAGGTACAAAAGAGTACTTTCGAATCATGGCACGCAATTCACGAGTAAGTTATGAAGGAGGTCGGTAGACGAGAGAAACATCACGCCTGTGTACCTATCTGTTAAGACACACGCAATCAAATCCTAGCCAACGCGGGGTGAATGAATTGTCACGATTGTTTAGGATATATTGCAGTGAACAACATGAAGATGGGGGCGAGTTAATTCCCTTTATTAACAAATGGCGTAACCATGTCCTTCATGACACCATAGGGATTAGCTCGTATGAAGCGCACGGGCGATTAGCCCGGCCGGAAGCCACCCCCATCTAATAGAATACATTAGATTAGATTTATTAATAATTCTGCAATTAAGTTTGAGTACTTGGTGGCAGAATACCTCATTGAGACATTTGACAGAGACATTATTCGAGGAGCCCAGATTCATTCACAAGGGGAAATTGATAGTAGGCTAATTCTATCATCTGAAGAAAGGACAAATCGAAATCCTACTCCTTTCAAGTCGATCATCAACTAACTCCAAGTACGTACCCCAAGAGTGTCACATCTAAGACTTCATTTTTTCGAAATTCTTTCAGCTTTAATTAAGGGCTTTACATTGTTCACCGAGTTCTTGACCTTGATGTCGCAGAACTGGTTGACAACAATGGCCAAGTGATCGAATATACCGTTTGTATAAATTGGAACCGTTTTAATTTTACAAGCAAGGTTTCTTTGCTGAAAAAATGAATAGTCAGGGGTATTGAGACAGGTCTCGTTTGCTGGCTATCCCAGGCCAGCAATACCGCTTGGCCACTGACAAGCACCGCTAGCAAGATGTGAAGGTGGTGGGAGCGGGCTTGAAGGGGCCGCTCGTTCCGTACTTGTAAAGGGAACGAGGGGAGTTCCGTGTCTCAATGTTTCGCGCAATGACACAGAAGGCAAACTATTATCAGCTGTAACGCCAGGAGAACGGACCAACCCCGAAAGGGCTCATTAGAGTGAAAAAAGGCCACAACTCATATTGGTCCAAATAAATTTGCCGGAAAAGAAGAGAGGGAAATCCTGGGAGAGAAAAAAACCTTATTTGAGACGCCGTGCCCGAGAGAACGTCACGCTACTCTAGTGCAGACCGAATTTAATTTCGGAAAGCAGGCTGCGTCTGCCCGCGACATAACTTGCGAGCAACGGAGCAGCAGGGAACACACTGAGGGGCCCTGCCGTTTCTGCGACCTCTTTCGAGTAGCTCGCACCTGCAATCTATTCCCCAAACATCTAAAACTCACTGACGACTTGCGTGTAGAGGTTCAGAGAATAACCCAATGGCATAGCGGGCTGTACTACTACTCAGGAGAAGAGAGCTACAATCTCGAGAAACTGAATATTATATGTGAACCACGACCAACTAGCCGGTCGCACGCCAATTATTAGGCGTATAAAAATTGAGAGTATTGTCTGGTACCAACAGGTTGGTGAATATATATATATATATTTTGTCACCAACCTGTTGGTACCAGGCGACCGACGAAACCGTTAGCTAGAGAAGAATGAAAATCACGAAATAGAGTGAGAAGTTAGGACTTTGTTCCAGTGGGTTGACCTTCCGAAATATAAAAGTGGAATAGATTAGCATTATAGAAGTACAAAGGAACTGAAGTCCTATTAGCGACTTTGGGTTGATGTAGACAAACTACAGATCTGAGTAAAGTCTGTAGAATTGTTAGCTGCAGTTGGGCGTGTAAGCCAGTGTTGAACGGGCGAAGGACGAGAAGGGCCAAGCCAGCACCAGCCAAGGCGACGGGCAGCTGCTTTGTCAACGGGGCTGCGGCGCGCGCCGCAAATCTGGAGGTCGACGACCGTGAAACGTTTGGGTTCGACAAGAAGGCGTAAGCAGTTAAATGATTCAGAAACATTATAGTATACATTAATTCGAGGGAAGTGTTCAGAAACTTGAAATAACGATCAGTTTAGGAAAGTTGAAAGTAGAGTAAAGCGCTGGAATTTTTAATCAGTTGTGTAATGCCTTTTTCGCTTCAAAAAAAATTCATTAATGTTTTATGTGTAATGGTGATAAATCGTTTTGTGTTTGAGTTGAAGTTGAGATTATGGCAAATGGAAAATTAATGTGAAGTAGTAGAGTAGCAATAATCGTGCACGGCGCGTAAATAAACAAGAGGGTTCTAGTTGATAAGAGGAGATTAATCATAGAAGTGAATTTTAGTGTACGAGGGAGTCGTCCGCTGGTGTGGACTCGTGTGAATTCGCACTTCCGTAAGTCGTACTTTTTGTGCTTCTGCTTGAATACACGAGCACCGGTTATTTGATTTGTGTGTGCTATGGATGTTTCCCCTTCTCACACCCATAAAGATCCACGCCCCGAAAAATAATTTGAGAGTGAAATACATAGATTAGCATTACAGAAATGAACTGTGATATATTCACCGGTAGCGTTTTCCTATTGGGCGAAATCTTACTTGATTAAGGTTTCTTACTTGATTAAGGTTACTTCATGATGATGAATCTTACTTGATTAAGGTTTCTTCAGAAAGTTCTTCAGGCTTTTGTTTCGTTTCTGGTCTTGCCTCATCCATTTTTATTTTGTCTTCACTGTCGGATGATCCTAAAATATAATTAGTAAAATTAATGAACGTTTAAATGTTATTTTTAATAATTATTGAACAAACTTAATAAGCTATGGAACAACTAAACATGTGTGAAAGTCTTTTTTATCTTAAGCTTGTACTTAGTTGAAATTGGTATTTCTCAAGAGAGATGTTCCTTCTTGTCAGCCATTGTAGCCAAGTTAATTAAGAGGGAGCAATTCTTAAAACTATTTATTTTTTACCCCCGTTTTTTATTGGGGGTATGTTGATGACATGATTTGTATTCCATTTATGGGAGAAATACACAATATTAACATTTTTATAATTAACACATTAAGTTGAGTTTTACTCATGAAAGAAAGAAAAGAAGGTGAGAAGAATATTTGATGAACATGTCGGAAATTCCAAATATCGAAGTCACACTTGTGCCATTTTTTCTTAATATGTTGGCAGCTAGTTATGCAATTGTTTGGCGGGTGTCCGAAACCTCTTTACGTCCGATGGTGACTTGCCACACACTTGTGCAAGACGCGAGTTCACTTACGCATGCATTGAGTAGGTTATGTACCCGCGTTACAATTTGTACCCTTTTTATATTTCACTTCTTGATACGTTTTCCAAATTTATGAATGACTACTTTGTATCCTTGTTTGCAGTAATTTCATTGTATTCAAAATATTCATCTACTTTACATGAATAGTGATTTTACATACTGATTGATATAGCGTAGACTATAAAATGAATTCTGAAATACTCCGCAAAGAAGACAATTTATATGTTCATTCTCAGTTAATTTTACGACTGTGTCAATAGACAGACTTGGTCTATTGAAAGTTATTCCACAAATACCTGGCTAGTTATAGTGCAAACTTGTAATCTATAATGATGTTCTTATGTTGATTTTGTATTTGAGTGCATCTCAAGCTGCTTTATGACTCTACTGCACTACTCAAACTGAAACATTATGTTATTCCAAGAAATGTGTTTGTAATTTATAAACTTTCGGATATGTGAATGATGCGGCTTACACCATCAACCTGTTAACGGTAAGATGATTAAATGGCTGTAATTATTAGTCCCTGTTTACGTATGTATACTTATATGGTTATCATAGTTATATTAATATAAAAGGTGCGATTATCTATCTATTAACCTGCGAGTTAAATTGCGAACATTGAAAGGTACGAAAGGAACAAATCTTTGATAGATTTACTGTTTTGTACTTACTCACATATTCCTCCAAATCTTCTCCTTGATGCCTCCATTTCAATGTATTTTCTTAGAAAGAATAAATTAGAATTAGTTCCAATTGAATATTTGCTTTTCTCACGTATTTTGTCATGTTCACCTTACCGGGATACGCAAGTTCTCCGGGGTTTCGTAGAAAGGTCTTCTCCCAATCTTTCACATCATTTTTCAACGCCAGGTATCGAGTTACACATAGCCCTAAAGGCGTAAATCCTTCGTCATTGCACATGTTGATGTCCGCTCCTCGATCCAAAAGTACATCAATGACAGCAAGCTGATCGTTTGCCTATTAGACGTTCATGATTATCATTTAAAGAGATCGATGTACTGTTTTTATTTTCCGATAATATCATTTACTATTTGCAATTTAATTTTAAATGTTAGTTAACAAATTTTATTACATACACAGTCATATCCATTAAGCTACTGTTTATGAAAGTTGTAATATTCCGATGGAACAGAAGTGATTAGAAAGTTTCCTGGGCGTAAATGAAACTTTTGTAGATCTGTGTGCAAGCGAAAGCGCGAACCCGGCAATGCCTTCTGAAATGCATTAATATTGTTTTATTCGTGTACCGTACTCTTACACACAGGATTATCACGTGTAGAGTGAAGGTGAAGTATTTATTGAAGCAGGTGCAGATTCAAGGGGGGGATGAGGGACAAAAAATTAGCAGCTATTAATTTTAACTTGCGCGAAAGCTTCAAGCAAAAATATTTTCGGATAATCATTAAAACGAATAAAATCGAATCGCAGAGCTTAGTTTAGCCTGCGTCATTCTACATAATCTGTAATATGACACATTCGACCAAAACATTTTGAACAAAAATCTATCTTAATTTATCGATCTCACGCGACTCAAAATAGGGCATTTATTGAGTATCCGTAGGATAGGGAAATATAACTAGGGAATTTTGATGATCTAAAAAATCACGAAAATGATCAATAAAACTTTTTAAATGTTTTTAAAATGCCCTAAAAGCAAAGAAAAATGCCGTAATACTTTTTAACAAAACGAATTGAAATGCTGAACTCAAGCATGTTAGTCATGTATTCGCAGTGAAAGATCGAAGGCGGGCATGCCCTTTCAAAAAAAGGCATAAAGAAAAAAATGATAACAGTGCAGGAAGAATAAAAATGAGAAACACAAGAAACGATTGAAGAAACGTGTAAAATGTATCTAGATGTAACCGCACGTTCTGTACTTTGCCTTTTAGTTACAAATGATTATGATTATTGCTATATTTCAGCCCACTAGTACGTATGGAAAATCTCGACTGTTCTCCAGACGCGTGGGACAGCTCACGTCTTCTTCCTCTGCACGACAAGCGACTTCTACGGCGACTTCTACGTGTAGGATCTGCGTCCGACGCAACCGAAAAACAGTGTTGACGGAATAGGGTCTCTCTGCAGGTGCCAAGAGAGCGGCGGCGACGATGGTGTAACGGTTAGCGAACTTGGTATACCCAAGTTCAAAGCCATGGATTTTTAAGGGCGAAAAAATCCTTCGTACGCCTTCCTTCGGAGGGGAAGTAAAGCCGGGTTAGTAGATTTACTTGCATGTAAAAGATCCTCAAGCCTAAATGACGCATCTGAGCTAAAGTCAAAATCGCCCTGTTTCTCCCAAGAAATACCTCCTTCCTCTGCTAGTTGGTGAAAGGAGCGTAGCGAAATTTGCGTGGTCAGACGGGAGAGCGGGCCTAATGGCCGGAGTCTCGCCACGTAAAATAAGGCATTAATTCAATTCAATTTAATTCAATTAACGAGATCAATTCAATTCAAGATGCCCCAAAGAAGAATTGACATGGATCGCTTGCATGCGCCTGGAAAAAGCGCGGTAATCAGAAGCAGATTCAGGGCGGCATGCCCCCTCCAAAAATGCCCAGAGTTTTTGTTTGTTATCTTCTTTTATTTGGGAAAAATGATTTAAATAATTATTTATATTAGAATTATGCAATTATTTAAAAAATAGTCTTGTAAAGTTTCATATATATATATATATATATATATATATATATATATATATATATATACTACAAAAATAATTTAAAAATATAATAGAAAATGTTTATTATTTAACACAAAATCTACGATGGTCCCCTACAAAACTCGGCTAGATCCGCCCCTGATAGTAATATCTAAGTGCTCGAGAAGGGGAAGAAAATATCCAAAAAATAATGAGAAGAAAAGAGAAAGAAATCTAATAAAAGTAATAAGTGGAAGAAGCATATTTTGTGTAATCCTGTCGACTTTCTTCAGTCCATGTTAACATATAAGCGAATGTTTAATTTGTTAATCGATATTATGTGTTTTTATTTAAATTTAATCTGTTAACATCTGTATAGAGAATTTAATACCCTAATCCTTTGTTGTTTTGCAGCTTTGAATTCAACGTTTTTGATCACAAATTGTTACTTTTACTTTCTCTCTACCGAGTACGCAGTAGAGCGACAGTTACGAAATGCTGAGCGAAAAAACGGTGAATATTCTGCAGAAAATCTCTTATTACAGGGACCTCATAGCGAAAAAGTAGTTAATGCAGTTGCCAAATTTAGGGGAAGAAACATGCGTAGCTTTTACTCAAAGTGAAGAAACTCCTTCTGATCTGGCCTGCGTCGAAGCTCTGCGATTTTGAAAAAACATTCATTAATTTTAGGGGCTATTTTACATGAAGCCCCAGGGGCAATTTAAAAATTGTTTCAAAAAGACTTCAATTTTTAAAAAATTCTTGTATGAATAAAGTAAAATACACTAATAAAGGTGAATTGATCCGATTTTTACTCTTAACTCTGGATTTTCGATAATTATAAAAGTTAGAAGTTTTTCGTCGACTTCCTAAAACTATAAAATTGAAGATACAGATTTTCCCTTCAAATGAAATTTTAGTCCAATATTAGTTCATTCATGAAGAAAATTTTTGTCGTTTTCGGGCAATATTACGTGCAATAGGGTGCTTTAAAAATAACATAAACAATATTTTCTTATATACGACTTCAACTTTTGATATGAAGTTTTCTAAATGTACTCTATGATATGCCATAATGCCATGTTGTTCTATTCTTCTGTTTTTACAATAATGTAATTTTTTGACTTGTCTCTCACATCGGTTATGTTTGCATTAGCAGCGATTTTTTCACATTATTGTTTTACTGGAGCATCAGTCCGGATTCAGAACAAATCACTGCACGATAGGTAAGGTGCACAGATTATGCAGCATCTTCGAAAAATCATTGGACGAGAAAAATATTTGTTCTGCAATCTTCTTGCACGTAGAGCACGCCTTTGACAAAATCTGGCACACGGGTTTAAACTATATGTTCAAGACTATTCTTCGTAGAAAATATGCAAATCTTCTAGAACCTTACTTAACTGTCAGGTACTAGAGTTTAACAAGACGATGCTTATACGATTCTCAAAGAAATTAAGAGAGGGGTGCCGAAAGGAAGTGTGCTGGGACCAATACTATACCTACTGTATACCAATGACCTCCCGAACCAGAAACTAGTGTCATAGGAACATTTGCCGATGACACAGCGACTTTAGCAATAGGAAAAAGCAATGAAGGAACCCGTAAGCTACAATCAGCAATAGCATGTACAAAAATGAACCAATGATTCGAATATCCAATTAAAATAAAAAAAATAGTTAATATGACTTTCACAAACAGGCGTACTGAACACATTCCAATTTATATAAACAATCACCTGGTACCATATGCGAATGCAGCTAAATATCGTAGCATGGCGGCAGAACAAAGAGCTAATAAATATCGTCGAAGCACATTGGTGTATAAGATATAAAGATATACTCAAGAACCTGAAAGTTGAAGCAGTGGATGAAGAAGTACAAAGGTTTGCGAGAAAACACGAAGACAGGCTGCACCAGCACGGCAATCCTGAAGCAATTCTTCTGCACAACGCAGACCTACTGAGAAGATTGAAGAGAAAGAAACCTTTCGAACTAGTGTAAAGTGAGGTGACAACGTGTTTTAAGAACTAAAATGACAGTGTAAATTTCAGTGCATCTACAAACACCAGAAAGTGGGTTTTAAAATACAATTTGAAACTAAGACGACGCTATGAGACAGCTCTCAGAACATATTTTATTTCATAGTAGGTTATGTAAAAAAATTGCGTATTATAATGTAATATTTATAAAAAATAAAGATAATTATTATTTTCTTAAGTATTATTTGCTTAAAATTATTATTAATATCATCTTTTAAATTATTATTTCATTTTTGTTTCTCGTTATAATTCTTTTGAGTATTTTATATAATAACACATAATTAGATCATAGTACATTACTCACATGCAGCGAGAACTACTCACTTGCACTGTAAGAAACAATTATGGCCGCTAAATGTATAGTTTTGAAACACTTTTCGCCATTACTTAATGAAATAGACTGCTTAAAGACATCTGGCTCCTATTCGCTCACTAAGACCGAATGCAAGGACAGATGTTCTCCTGTTAATCTGTTTCTATATTTATTTTTTATGTGTTTTTTATGTAGAAAATGCTAATACATAGCAATCATGAGAGATATATACCGCCTTCATTCGCAAGCTACATTACGTCTTCGTATAAACATATTAGTACATTCGTATTCAATGTTTAACCTTTTGGACTGGACTCTGCCACTTACAAGGGAATTATGGAGAGCGCGATGAGTTTTCGTGTGCTCTTGTTCAGAGGAGATAATTCTAATAACCACAATGCCGCTTTGCCTAAAATTTACGGCGAGTGATTGGTCGAGCGTGGACGCCCGTGATGCCGACCTGTGCCCTAGGAAGTACGGCAAGGACCGAGTCGGTCCTGATATGTACTTCATTGCGAGGCGTCATCTACGCGGTCTGTGGCCATTTTGGGATCGAGTCCCTTGGTCTTCGGCCTCGCGGCATACGCTTACGTAACTTCTGCTTCTTTTTTGACGTTCACACTCGCTTTATAGCAATGCTGGTTTTATTACTCGGACGCCCAACATTTATGATCAGGTACTTCGATCCACAAGCCTAATAGAAATAATCCTTTCTTGAGTTGCATTTTTTAAAAAATACGTTATTACGTAAATGGTTAAAAAAGTAGATAGCTCTTAAATATAATCTTCAAAACTGGAGAGTGTTCACTTTCTTTGGGTATCTTTAGTTAATGATTTACACTGAAACTTCAAGCGAAACATATTTAAGAGTTGTGCACTATACAATCCACATTCAAACACCCTAAACG